AGATGCTTCAGAGACACCGGCCACAGCCAAACTTGCTTCTGAACCTTCCGCCACCTTGATGAACAACCAATCACATTCACTTTATTCACCATGCGCCACTCTGGAGAATTTGGAAATGCTATAGTTGGAACAGCCGTTTCCCTACGACTTGAAGGTTTTTCATGCATGGTTCTCTTGCCCCTACAACTTGATTAAATGGAGCCTAGGTGGAAGTTCGACTGAACAAACGATCGCTGACCCTTATCCGTCACAGGTTAATCAGTTTCCAACCATATCTCCACGAAAGCCAATCAGCATCTAAAGTTCATTTTAAAAGGCCTCCAAATCCACAACTCGTCTGCTACCAAGTGGGCAGGCAGTGGTTGTTTTATGTCTGACTTCAGTTCAGATGACACCGTTTAAACCCACCTCCAGCCCGCCTACACCAACTAAAGCTTCATCAGAGTTTTCTTCCTCCCGGACTCTTGCAGTGTTCGGCATCTGATTTCAACCGGTCCGGCAGAAGACCTACATGTTGAGCCTGGTTCTGCCAGAGGTATCTTCCTAATAAGGGGAGTTTTTCCTCTCCACTGTCGCTTCATGCTTGCTCATCATGGACGGGTTCTCTCAACCTGTGTTATCCAAGCTGGACTTCCATCTTCCAGTTCCCTGAGTGTAGCTCTAGCATCAGCTCACGCAGTCCACTGGATCTCCCCATAAAGCTCAGCAGACCGTCTCTCTAACCAGCAGTCTACAGACTGACCAACTTCATCTATCTCAACTCCACCACCAGTTTCAGAGTTCTTTACTCCTGTTCATACATATCACAGAAAATTCAGTGCTATGTTTCCTGCTGAGGTCTGAGCACCAGAGACTAAAGTAATTGTATCAATAAAATTCTTCTAATTGTCTTCTTTTTCCATGTGAGTTTCCTTTTGATGAGACACCATCCAACATTTGGATGCTTTTTACTATAGGACGTTTCTTCAGTCCCGCTGTAATATTTGTGTTTATGTGCTGCAGAAATCATACAAACAGACGGAGCAGCTAAGGGAGAACTCCTATGGGACGCTTACAGACACTCCTGAGCTGCTGCATGCCTCCTACCTCAAAGACATCTACAGCCAGGTCAGTCATCGTCATACACTTCCTCTCTGATGGGGAGCAGCTCTGTATTCTCTAAAAAAAAAGCCAGTCATCTTTATCTGCAGCTCTACTTTTGTCATTTTCACCATCTCTATAGTTTAATCATTGCACAACATCCCGGAAACATTGCATATTAGTAAGGCCATCTTGCAGACTTCCCCTCTCACTGCTACCTTTTCTCTCACTTCCTCGTGTTTACATCACATTTGACATGAAAACCCTTTGAAATGTTGACCCCAGGTTCTTCAATTGATCCTTTTTAGAGGTTCCTCCTGATGCAGCCCAATGTACCACCCTGCTGCTGTGATTACTGAAATATATTTCCTCCACTGAGAACTTTGTTCTGCTTGTTTCTGTAGAAGAAGTACAAGGATGAGGCTGAGCAGCTGAAGGGCCGCTACAGCCAGGTTCCAGAAACCCTGGAGATGGAGAGGGTCCGAGCCAACCAGAGACACATCAGCTCTGTGAGAACTGAAGCCTGGCCGCTCTGAGAGCACTTTATGCTGCCTTATTCAGAGATGAGTATCTGTAACACAGCTCTCTGTCGCCACCTAGCTGCGGTATAGCTGGGACTCCAAACTGATGCGAGGCCTGATGGCGTCGGTCACGGAGACGCCAGAGATCGTCCTGGCCAGGGAGAACGCCAAGAACTTCAGTGATGTATGTTTACCAGGACTAATAAATGAAGATAAATACACTATAACGTTTTACAACACAGCTAATTATTTATAATTAATTAATCTATTACACTGTGATCATGTAATACCCAGTAATAAAAACTTTTATTTTTGCACTAAAAAGATTCATGCATAGTGCTTTTCACCAGATGTTTTTTTTTTTACGTTTTAATGTTTTGTACTTTGCTCATTTTAACACTTATGTTTTTTTTTACAGTTTGGTTGCAGATTTCTCTGATTAACTTCTTCTTCTTGTTTTAACAGGACCTTTATATCATGGATGTATGTGATTAAAATCTAGAACTAAATCAGGGTTTTTAAACGTTTGCTGTAGAGATGTTCTGTGTGCAGCAGCTGGCTGACCTCAGGTTTCTGTTCAGGTCCAGTACAAAGAGCAGGTGGGTCACGGCACTGCAGTCATGGACACACCTGAGATGGAGCGAGTCCGACGCAACCAGGATAACATCAGCTCAGTGAGTACACGGCAGCCAGAGCCTGATGACCGCCGAGGTCAGATTATGACCAAACCAGTAATGATGATTCTGATAGAATCCATTATCCATAAATTAACTGGTCTCAAACTCCATAAAGTGTTCAGGTTTCTCACCAAAAAATCTTAAAGTTTGTATTCAGACACATTTTCTTAAGGAATGCTTAGCAGGATTTCCCTGGGTTTCATTTACCCAGTGGCGGCTGATGGGGTTTTTTCCAGAGGGGGCTATAAATTCAAAATAGGCGTATACCAAAAAATAATCAAGCATGTACTAAGTTATCACAACAGTATATTTATATGAATGCCAACAACAAAAAACATTAAAAAAATGCTTTATAAAAACAAAACATAATTTCATGTACAGGTTTACATTTTGTACATAAATGTTGCCCTTCTGAGGCTTTGTTAAGATAAATCTGTTTTGCATGCTCCAATATTGTGTCACAAACCTAAAAAAATAATGTACCAGTTTAATAATGAAGAAGCTATTAGTCAGTTTTATACATTTTTTTATATTTTAAAACAATTTTCTGAGAATGTGTTTATTCAAGAGTTTATTTGTGGTTGCAAATGAACAAACTTCTAGAAAAAGTAGACTATATTCTATTATTTTCCTTGTGAATCCCAGATTGTTCATTATTCTTTGCCTTTTCTAAAAAGCGCTTTAAATCAGTCCTAGCTGTGGGAAAGGTGTTCTAAGTCCGTCTATCCAGACTGTGTCCACGTCTAATCACTCCGGTCACTTTTAAAAAGAATGCAGGAAAAAACAAGTGCCTTAGCTGTCCCACAGGCTGTTAGCCATGACTTATGCTGGAACCAACTCCTGCTAAAACTCTGGTTATAGGATTTGGTGTCAGGTTTGGTTGATGTTTTGAGGACCCAAATGCAGAGAGGAGTAGGCACGGATGAGTTTGGATGGTTTAATGAAAGTCTGAAGGAAACAGAGGTAAAAAAACAAAAATACTGAAAACCAAACCAACCAATAAACGTCAGGAAAAAGACCTGAGGGAAGCAAGAGACTAGGAAGCAAATAACATCTTCAATACACACAAGAAACCAGCAGTTAATGAAGGCTCTGGTGCTTTTTTAAATAATTATAAAGATTTCTTTCACCTGTGTAGGCTACCCAAGTTCTCCACAAAGATCCTCTATAGTAGAGATGCACAACTCGCACTAACCCACACACAGGAACCCTGACATTTGCCCTTTTCCTCGGTTTGCTGTGTTAAATTTATTTCAGGCTGGTCAGCCACCATTGACTTTATTCATCCTTAGATTTCATTTCTGCTTTCAAAACTTTTAAGTGGAATTAAAAAGAAGAAAATACTTTTTTTCCTGCTGCTTAAACTCTTGATTCATCAGAGCTTAAATTCCTCCTTTATTCTGTTAAATAAGCTTTTATTCCATGAATTTTTATTGGTAATAAAATGATGAAGGCTATAAAGAAAGATTTCCTCCCATTTGGTTTTCTGAGGGCTTTTCTCCATCCAACGGTGTAACATCCACTAAATGCAACCAAACACATTTGGACACATGTCATGTTGCTGCCCCTGCACCCTGTGGGAGGCAGACAGCTCCCAGCAGGGCGGCTCAGCAGCTCAGTGGTGTGCAGAAGACAATAAATCCATGCTTGTTCTGATTCTGTGTCACTGGGTGTTTCATCATTAGATCCCAGCTAGAAGCCATGCGTCTGAGCAGAAATCCGTGTTTGATTTGGTTTACTGTCCGTCTTCCTGACAGGTGAAATACAAGCAGGCTGCAGCCAAGGCCACCAGTCTGGGGATGACTCCAGAGGTGGAGCGGGTCAAACAGAACCAGGAGAACATCAGCTCGGCAAGATGCATGCACTCAACAGTCCACACACGCATATTCCTTCTGTATAACCTTAGATCCATCTGTGTCGTACGCCGACAAAGGGTCAAAAAACAAACAAACCGTTTTGTGAAGGCCTTGACTGCAGCTCTGAAGTGAATTTAGCAACTAGTTTAAAGGATAGAACAATAAAAACCTGAGCTTCAGCATTGATGCAAAGTTAAATCAGCTGTGAACAAACAGGACATGCCTCTGTTATAACCTGCAGTCTGTCCATGCTGCATCACATAGCTAAAGCTGGTCAAGTTAGCATCGATCACACTTTAAAAATGGCTAATCTCAGTGAATTA